ATTTTATATATTTTTAAAACAATAAAAATATAAAAACAAAAAAAATAAAATATCAAATAGAGTTAAATGAAACCTTAAAATTTTATCAAAAAATTGTTAGATTAATAATTAAGAGTTTCGGCCGGCGTGTAAAACCTCCCGTAAGCAATGCGCCACCTTTCCCCTGTTTCATTCCAATTTTCAAAAACCCATTAATTTCTTTTTTTTTTTTCGTGTAATGATTAAAAAATTAATATGAATTAGTTGTTAATAATTGAGGATTTGGTTTTTACACCGGATAAATATTTCAATCACTTAAATGAGACGCGCGACCATCAAATCATTTTTAAATATAATTCACGATGATAATAAAATTCAAAAATCTGATTACCTCACCAAAACACTTAAAATTTAAGATCGAATTATTGGGCTTAAATATCCGATTCACATTAATTTCAACTTAAATCATAGATTCCTGAGCAATTAGATCGTGCATTAATGAAACTTTGCTTGGAGCTTGTCCTTAGCGCTGTAGTACTCAGTGCTAGAGGGTTGTGGGCTAGGACTAGGATACTGACTGGCCGCCTTAATTTAAGACTCTAAATTCAAGATTGTTGAATTTTACCCTTAAATTCCCTCGAAATGAAGCAGAGAAATTGCAGTGATGAAAAGTGCTGGTGACTTGGTGTTAAACTTAGATGAGGATACCCAATTGAGCGGAAGGCCAAAACCAGCTTCCATCTTCTTTTGTTTGGAAGAGGTTCAAACAAAGAATGCTTATGTTGTTGACCCAAAAAAAGCGTGCTTATGTCATTAAAGCAAGGTAAAACCCAGTGTTAAGCTCTTAGACTTTTTCCATTTTTTCACATAAGCCCCAAAAGAAAAAGGTAGCTCACATAGGCCCTCAAAGAAACTAGTAGCATACAAACCCTCAACGTCTAAATTTGAGCAAATTAATAATTGTATTAATAGTGAAATCACGTGTAGTTATATAGATCACATCGTTGTGTTTTTTTCATTTGTGTGGTAATTACTTTACACTTAAATGCTGATATAATTCAAGACTCAGTCATTTAGTTTTCAATTTTGAATTATATATTGTAAGCAATTAAATGTAAATAAATTAAGGTTATATGTTTTAAGCATTTAAATGTAAAGAAATTGTCACATTATCATCTAAGTTTAAAAAAATTGCTACACAAGTGAAAATTTTGTTTACCATACATTACTACATGTGATTTTTTTATCATTAATATAAAGCTTAATTTGCTTAGATTTAACCATTTAAGAGCTTGTATGTCACCTTTTTTTTAAAAAGATTTATGTTAAAAAATAAATAAATAAATAAAAGTCTAAGAGCTTAAACGTGGTTTTTGCCTTCAAAGTAAATGAGTCTTTTCAAGCCTAAGCTGGTATTTATATTTCAACTACTCATGGCACGTTCAGTATAATGATTTTGGAGCAACGGTTAGTGGTTTTGCTTAAATTATTAAGTATAAGTATTTAATAAATTTATATATTTCGGTAAATTTATATATTTTGAAATCGCTACAAATAAGATATTTAGTAAAAAATTTTATTTAGCAGTTTAAGACTAATGAATAACGGTTAGAGTCTAAACCACTAGCAAATTGAGGGCTTGTTTGATATAGTAATTAAAATTCAGCAGATAGTAGATAGCGAATTCGATAAATATAACTGTTTGATTATACAATAGTTAGCTGTTGTTGTTTAATATTAAATAACTAATAAGAACATGTTTAACAATAATTAAGTGTGTTTTTTTAAATATTTTTTGTTTTTTATTATTAAAATTATTAATTGTATAAAAATAATGATAAGAAAATAAAGCAATAAAATTAATTATAATAATGTTATTACATCCTCATTTTTATTTTTAACAAAGAAAAAATTATATTATTTTT